TTTTTTTTTTTTTTTTTTTTTTTTTTTTTTTTTTTTTTTTGTACAGTCTTTAAGAATAGCCTGGATGCCTTTGAGCTGAGACCCTTGTTTCCTAGATTTAGAGGGAAGAAGCAGGATAAAAGGCTATCAAGAGACACCCATGACTTTCCAGCAAGCCTCAGCTACTTGGCAAACAAGCCTAAATCAATGCAAGAGCCTAGAAGCTCTTTTTACCTTAAAGGCTCATGGAAACAGACATTCAAGACCATCTAAGGCAGGCAAATGAATGAGGTTGAAGACTTTGAAGGGCCTGCCATCATCAAGTAAGGTCTTCAGGTCCTTCAGCATAGCTACTTTTCCTCCAGACTTATAGTAAAGGTGTGTGGGATGGCTTGTGGAATGCACTGTGATGTACAGCATGGCCACCTGTGGCCACCTGTGCTGATTCAGCAAGTAACACTGGCAGCAAAATGGGTTTTATTCTGGCCCCATTTGGAAATCGCAGCAGCCTGAGCATTTACCCCTACAGGGAATCTCTTGCTAGGACTGTGGGCCTGCTCAGACTAGAAAAACCCTTATCTAGCCCTGCTGCTCTCTCAGCAGTATGCTCCTGCCACAGTCTCCATCTACCAGTGCCCTGGACTTTCCCCATTACCCATGGGCAGCAGATGCTTTTGCTGTGGCTGTACAGCAGGGGTGGAAACAGCTTTCCCACCCAACCCAGTTGACTGGGATGTGAAAATGTTCCCAGTCATCATGAAGGTCCCACATTTGCCTCCAGGATACAATGATGCATTGGGACTATTACTTCTGAGCAGCTGATGCACTTTGAGCTCACCCCATGTTTGTACTGACATAGCCTAAACTAATGAACTCCTCTTGTACCCTCCTCCTGCCAGTCATAATCCTGGCAGTGTGCAAAGCTGGGACCCAAGAACTGGCATTGATGTGTGCACCAGTGTGGGGTGTTTATTCAGAAGGCTGGTGTAGCTTGCTCTGCATGTGGTCCATGATGTAGCTGATGGGAACCCCTGCAAGGCAGGGTGATGGAGAAATCAGTGAGTTATGGTCACATTAGAGAGGAGGTTAATCTAGTGGGGAACAGCATCTGAGTTGCTGCCACAACTGGGGTGTTTTAGGGGATTTGAGTATAGATTTATTCACTGTCATTGCACAGAAACATTATCTCTACATAAGATATGTAACTTAAAGCTTTTCTACCTGTTTTAACTACCTTCTCAATATCAGCACACACTTAGGACTAAATATTTAAGGGGATTACTTCAAGGCTGTACTGTCTTGCTCTGAAAGCACATAATTGTGTAGAAATAATATCCAGGTATTGAGAAAAGGAAAATGCTTGTAGCTATTACTCTGGGTTGTCTTCCAGCTCTGCTTCACCATGGAGTTTGTAGATTGTCCCTGACATTTAAACTGGCATTTACTTACTCTTCCAGTCTTGGGTTTTTTCCATGTGGGGAACAGAAAGAGCTGGGAGAGGGGAAGATGGAGGGCTGTGAAATACTTTGAGCCATATCTTGCCAGAGGAGCAAGTTCAGTGGTCAGTATTTTGTACTGGAAGAGAAAAGTAAAATCCATGTATTCTTCCCCTCCATACGCTCCCAGTGTAGGCACACAGTGATGAGTGGGGTCTAGGAGTGGGTTTTGTTTTGTAACAAGAAACCATCTTCTCCATCTAACTTGCTTTTGTCAAATCTTGCAGCCTTTGAGAGTACCCAGTGGAGGCAGAAAGGCCATGTAGGACACATCGTGGTGACGACAGCCACAGGTCCTCGCAGTAACTAAAAACTTTTGTCTCTTCTGTCCTAGTTCTGGATACTGCAGGCCAAGAGGAGTTCAGTGCAATGCGGGAGCAGTACATGAGGACCGGAGATGGTTTTCTTATAGTCTACTCGGTGACAGACAAGGCTAGCTTCGAGCACGTGGACCGGTTCCACCAGCTGATCCTCAGAGTCAAGGACAGGTGGGTGCCATGGAGTCAGGCGCTGCCTGACCCCACTCTGCCGCTCTGGAGACTGTGCCATGGGATGGTTGCACATCTCGCCCTGCCTTTTGCCTCCTGGGTGTCCCGGGGAAAATTCTTGTGTGGGGTTGGTGGACCTACATATGAGGAATAAGAGTTTTACCTCTTCTGATAAGTATGTAGTGCTTTCAGCGTGGAAAAGTTCAGTAGTGTTATGATGGGGTGAAAATGGGTCTGGAAGGGAGAATCTCCTGCCAGAACAGTCTGGCAGAGCAGTGTGAGAAAGGCAGATCAGACACCTTTAAAGGTAACCAGTCTGGCTCCGAAGAGGGAAGAAGGATGCTCTGTACACAGCACAGGCACTTTGGGAACACCAGCAGGGAGTCAGCGAGCATTTGGCCCTAACCGTTTTGTGTGTCCTGGCAGCAGCCTCCTTTCCCTGGCTTCAGTTTGCACCAAACAAACATTAGAAGGTCCTGCACAATTTGAGGCTGTGAACAAGTGTCTTGAAGGGGAAAACTCCTAATGTTGGAAGGAACTGTATTTCTTACAAGGGGTGTAATGCAGTTAATGCATCATGCTCTGCAGCAACCATTTTCAGTGCATAAAACCATCTCTGCGTGATGAGGGAGAAAGCAAGAGAGGTCACCTGCTCTCCTCCTTGTGCGTGCAAGGGGGAAGGTAGTGCTGAGAGTTTAACTGTGGTAAGCAAATGCATCCTGACAGAGCGAGGGGGAGCTGCCAGTTTATCTCCAAGATAACTCCCTCTTCCCATCCGGTTCAAGAGGTGATGAATCCATCCCCACTGGGTGGGGTGTGAATTAAGCCATTATATGTCTGCAGCTTTGAAACACTTCGTTTTTCCATTCATAATGGCTTTTAATTATGGAAGTCATCAAGAAAAGCCACCAGAGAGTTTGGGCCTTGTTGCTGGCTTCCTTTCGCAGCTCTGAATAACTTCCCCACAGGAAGGGTGGACTCATACCATGTGAGGTTCACAGCTGACAGCTCTTCTAGTAAAGCATCCAAAGCAGAGCCCACAAGAGTAAAAAGTAAAGGAAAATCCACCCTTTGATTTCATCTAAATGAAGAAAAATGTCAGTCAGTCTGCCCCCCAGATCATGACAGTCTTTTCTTCACTGCCAGCTCAGCTTGGGGCAAATTAAATCTGTTTCTGAAAGCTGAAGAAGACGCCACAGCATTTCCTGTAATGTCCCCCAAACAATGTCAGTTTTATCTAATTTAACTTGGTGAAAATAAGATGCAGTGTTCATTGTTTTGCTCTGGACTGAAACTTTCACCCCTCTGTACACCATGCAAACACCGCGCCTGGCATGTGAGAAGCAGGAAGTGAAACTGGCTGGTGAGGTTGTTTTTGTTTCCCCGCTCAACGCCACCGAAGTGCAGAGCGTGAGAAGCTTAACACTTCATCCAAAACCTGAGCTCGTGCATCAGTAGGAGCAGTGATAATAAAGAAATTGTCCTGCCAGACCCACAGGTAGCTGGGAGCAGAGCACACACACACACCCCCATCCCAGTTTTCAAGCTAGCAACTTAAAATACAACGGAATTGCAGGCTGCCACGTTAGCAGAGCTTTTCAAAGCCTTCCTTCTGATTCTTTGCATAACCTTCAACTTCATAACTTCCAACTATAGTAGCTTTGTCCAACTAGCAATCGTACGGCTTACAACAGGGAACAAAATCCCCATAGAGTTTTTATGCCTGATGTAAACAAGGCAAATGAGATCCCATCCACATGTAATCCCTTTTTTATCAATGTGCTGCAAGCCAAAAAGGAATCAAATAATCCAGACAAGCAAGTGTTTTGCTCCAGAATAATCAGAGTCAAGATATATCAATGCTCAGGTATTAAAATTAAATCAAAGCCACATTATCAGAATGAATAACTGTAAGACTCATTTAAAATGCAGAGTGCAGTACGGTATTTTTCCAGCCAGAGCAACGGGGCAATGTGCCAGAGAGAAGATGGAGCCCTTATCGTCTTGATGAAAAATGACATAGAAATGCTGTTTGAAAATCCAGAGTTACTCAAGGAAGTGTTTTCTGCAGAAATGAGTATGGCCAGCTGCTCCTTACCCCAATAAAATCAGCTCTGTTACAGCAGAGAACACTGGAGACATTTTAGGAGTTAAATATAGGAAAATAATACTGCAATAACTGTCAATTATCAGAAGGGACCTCCTTCCTCCTAGCAGTGGGTAAAGGCCCTGCAGCACAACTTTGTTGTGTGTCATGCAGCTGGAGGAGAGGGTCCTGTAGAGGAGGCAGGGTGGGGTGGGCAGCATCCCCATTGCCAGGACCACCCGTGGCACAGGTCACCAGAGAAACAGCGATTTCAACAGGGAAGATCCTGACCCACATGTCTCATCAGGAGGGCCTTGCACTGGATATGCTGTGGATAGAAGGGTCTCTTCTCAGGCAGTGTCCAGAGACAGTCACTTACATGCACGGTAAAGTTAAAAGAAATACTGAGTTTTATTACAGAGGTGAATGGTTTTGGTACAAAAGGATAGTTGTTTACCAGGTTTTTGCTATAGGATCAGTAGCAGGTAATAACATCAGACAGCAAGACACTTCAGTGTCCTTCCAGCTACCACTGCCAGTTTTTCAGTTTGTCTTGGGGTGACAACTGATGGGGATCTTTGCACCCAGTCATTTTCTCCCCCATGAGATGCCCTGCTAAGTGCCAGCTCTCCCAGAGTTTGTCTTTCCTTCGTCCACTGTTGCTCTCAGTATGAGTCTCCACCAGGACTGAAATGTACCTTGCAGTGACTAGCAACTGCCAAGATATGCAGCTACTGATACGCCTTGACTATTCTGAAAGAGTCCCGTTCAAGATCTGTCTCTAAGTCTCAGTTAATTTCCTGACTAATTCTGTAATTCTTTCTTCATCTAGCCGGATCTTCAGTCTTCACTATCATTGCAAAAACAATGATACCAAGTCCCTGAAGTGCCTGCAAATAAGAATGAATGTGTGCATGCATGCAACTTGTCAAGCAAAGTTTTACAATATGAATATATGTGTAGCACAGTCTGGGGGCTGACGTGTGTTCATTCGGTCTTTCTTTATATTTCTTTGCACATATGTGGTATGTCTGTAGCTGAAAATGTTAGATGATGTCAACATCAGAAAGTGAAGCTTATGCTTAGCACTTTTTATTGTAGTCTGCTAATAATTGGGTGATGGTTTTGATTTTTTCCAGAGAGTCCTTTCCAATGATTTTGGTGGCGAACAAAGTTGATCTAATGCATTTACGGAAAATTACGAGAGAACAGGGAAGAGAAATGGCAACAAAACATAATGTAAGTTTGCGGGATTGTTTAATTGGTTGTGGTAAGTCCCATTACATGCATTCAGAATTGAATTCTCTGCTCATTTAGAGCTGAATTAAAGCATTTCTCTTACAATCGAACATTTTCAATTACATTTTCGACTACTACAAAGTAGTAGCTATGCAGCTTCCCTTCAGTAGGGCCAGTTCATCATTGAAATTAGAACCTCTGCTGTGCACCAGGCTGTAGCAAAGCTGTGGCCATCACAAAGCCATGTGTACAAGGTGATGCAAGTGGTGAGAAATGTGAAATGTTCAAAATGAGGGAAGAAAGCTCACTCTCCTGGAGTGAAAAGGCAGAGTCAGGCGTTATGAAGTATACCCAGGTGTCTGTAGGAAGTGAGCTTGTTAAAGATTAATGAAGTTACAGGGTTGTTAAGCCTATATAAATCTGGCCCACCATCTTAGCTCTGCATTATTCATGCCATAGTTTAGCCTGAGAAATTGGTCTTGGATGGGTGTAGATCACATGCTACTCCACTAATCACCTCAAAATGCCAGCAGTCCTGAATACCCAGAGGGAGACAGCAACTCCGTAGGAGGAACTGAATGGAAAGGTAAAGGCAAACAAGCCTGAGACCTCTTGGCAGCTTTCTGTGCCTAAACGGCACAGCTTGCCATGTTTCTAAACAAGACGTGATGGGAGTTTGGCAGGGCAGGTTCACTCCCTCCCCTCCCCAAGGAAGCTCGTTTCTTTAGGAGCCAGGACACCTAAACTGCACTACAACATGTTGCACCCATCTGTACATGCACACTTTGGAAGAGGCCGTGTACGAAAATACCTTATCAGAGGCAGATTTATAAATCTGCCAGCGTGCTGGACAAGCACTCTAGGAGGCCCCATCTGGCTGTTAGATTTTGAAGGAGAAGATCATTTTACACTGAAGGGGAATTGTAGTCATGAAATATTCATGCAGTAGTCCTAATAAAATGTGGCAAGCAAGAATTTTTGGCAAGTGCTCATCTTTCAACAACCTTCGGCTATTTTCACGTCTGCAAGCACAGTTTAGGGGGAGAGAACATCTGACGACATGAAGTCTATGATTATTCTTCCCCAAACCTGGAGCTCTGATAGCAGCTGGTTTGCCTGGTGCTTATTCTGGACCTTTTGTAAGCGCTCACTGACCTTGCTGTGAGCGTGAAGGTGTTGACAGCAGTGTCATGACAACACTTTGTTTACTTGTATTTCCCTGGTCTCTTAGGCACCCGATTTCTCTAGCCTGTAGGGTTTTTCATTTTGAAACTAGTTTGCCACCAACATGTAGGCTGTTACTAATCTCTTTCATGATGCACTTCTCTCCTCCAGATTCCCTATATAGAAACTAGCGCCAAGGACCCACCTCTAAATGTTGACAAAGCCTTCCATGATCTCGTGAGGGTAATAAGGTAAGCTGCAAACTCTTCACTTGCTCACTGCCCATGGACAGGACATGCAGGAGTCCTGGCCTGGAGAGCCAGGAACCAGCTTTTGGGGAGCAGTGGCCAGGTGGTTTGGTTGGGGGTAGGAGACTTCTGAGGTTTATTAAACTTTCTCGTCCTGTATCTGCATAGGGATGTTACTAGCACTTAGTTACCCTTGCAGGACATCAGAGCTAGGCAGGTTGAGAACAAGCTGTGGCCATAATTAAAATATATTATTCAATGAACGGTGCAAAGCCTGCCATAATATCAGCTTTAAAAGGCCAGCATTAAAAGCTCTGGACCAGTATTTTGGGTTTTCATAGCTTTGTCCTCTCAGGGGCTCACACTGCCAGAGGTCTGGCAAAAAATTCTACAAAACTCTAATGTTGTAGGTGACTTCTAACATTTTCTGCTTGCTGAATGGAAAAAATTGAGACGCTTTGTATGAGAAACAGCATGACCTAATGGCTAAGCCACAGGTTTCCTCCTCAGACTGCAGAGTTTTGTTCCCAGTTTGGCATGAGCTGCCTTTGCTCGCCTTGGCAAACGCCTTCTCTCCGGGCGAACCCCTGCTCTGGCTGCCGGCAGGGAGGGACTGCCTTCCAAAATCCCAGCTGCCCTGCAGGAAAAGAGCTGCACGCACATCTCGGTGTCTCGGCTGATAATCTCAAATCTCACTGAGAAGATTTGTTTTTCTGGCACCAGTTGTCTGCCAGATTTTTCTGGGCCCTCATTTTTCATGTTTTGGGAGGGTGCTGAGCTGAAATCATGCTCCTCCCCGCCATGCAGTCAAAGTGCCTCGCTCGGCAATTAAACCATGAGGCATTTATTCACAGCGTATCTGTACTTGTGAATATCTTAGCTCAGCCTCAAGTCAGCCTCCATCAAAAGCAGATGGTACTGCCCACTCTTCCCACATGTCTCAAAAGCAGGGGGCAGAAAGTCTTTGGAGAACTACAGAGCCGAGCTGGAAATGTCCCAAGCTATTTCCCAATTATTCTGTAACTCAGCATTAGTTGGCTAGTTATTACCTTTGTGTTACAGCGAGCTCTTACCACCATCTATTCTACTCTGAGGGGAAAAAAAAACACAGCCAAAATGAGCTGGTGAGGCTTTGTTTGCTCCCTCTATGTAATGTGACTCCAGACCGGCTGGAAGGAGCATTGTAATGAGACATCACTAAATTCAAGCCCTGAAAATGTACTCCATAACCTCAAAATTAGGTGATTCCCTGAGTAGTCACTGTGAAAGTCATTGACAGCCAGGTGAAACCTTCTGTGGCATCAAGGGCACCAGAGATGTTCGGAATAGCTGGAACTCAGGTTAAGTCAGGGAGAAGAGTGATGCCGTGAGATCTAGCTGGTCATTTGCCACAGTGCAGGTTCACTTGGTCTTTGGACATTGCAAAGTGTCCAGAGCCATAGGATGCCATCACCCACCAAGTGTCACTTTACTTTTTTTTTAAGTGAGCTTTTCCAAATAAAATGTAAATTTACAGCTTCCTAATAACTCTGTCATTCCTGGAGTGCTTTACAAATATACAGGCTCCTCAGAGCCAGTGTGAGTTTGCAGGGTGAGGATGCTCGTTCAGGGTTGGCACTGTTTGTGCTCCTTGCACTTGGCTGATGCCCAGTTTATTTAGCTTCATGCAAGAAACTGTTGTCTGGAAGTAATCCAGAAAAGAGTGGGGTGATTAAGCCTGCCTGATAGATCTTTCAAATTTCCTGGTACCCCTTTTATGCTGCAGCAGTGCACACACAAGGTCTGTCACAGCAGAAATCATGAGCAGGCACAGGACATGCTTTTCTGGTTCTTTAAAACAGTTCCAGAACACTGAGAACAGCTTACAGCCACTTAGTGTTTATTCAAGTTAACTTTAAAGTATTTTTTTTTATTTCAGCTTTTTAGTTTTAGGCTTTAAAATTTAATGTTTTACATGCCCCCAGCTTTCATACTCATTGAAAAAAAATATATCTTATTAGTTAAATCTGAGTTTTTCAGGTGCTTGCAAGCATTTGGGAGCTGAGGCTGTAAGAAAACCACCAACTGAAGCCATAATGATTTGTCCCCCAGCTATGCCTCATCCTGGTCTGCATAACGTGGTCTAAACACTCAGTTTAGTGCCTGGCATATTACACAGCAAAGAGGATGGCTTTGAACTATCCGAACTCTCGGGTTGGTTATTTAGACACTGTTTGAACCTACAGAAGCTGCCGGTATTTGTATGGTTTATCCTGCAATAAAATCTAAGTCTACGGGCTGCCTATCAGGCATTTGAATGACAAAGCCTTCTTCTGTTGAATTTGCACCGCTGGGCTAAGCTGAGTGGCTGCTGCAAACAGGTACTGTTGCAAACAGGCATTTGGGCGACGCCTCATCTTAATGAAAAGGGTGAAACCCTCAGCACAACGTTTTAGAGATTGCTCACAACCCAGCTGATGGATGGGCGCTGCCGCGGCACAGTGCAGGAGTGCTCCCAGCTGCGTGTTTCGGGTGGCTGTGACTTCAGACAGCCAGGGACATCTTTCTGGGGTCAGCTTGCTCTCCATGCTCTGGTGCTCTTCACAACTTCTAAGGGAGGTCAGAGCCCCATTGGCAGCAAACTCTGGGGTTTTTTATTATTATTTTTTAGCGTCCCTCCATATCCAAGTCCACAGCAGCACATCTGACTAAGGGGCAATGCCGGCTTCAAGCAGATCTTTCCAGGAGGGTTTATTTCTCTGTGCACTTTCCAGGAGTGTTTATTTCTCTGTGCACTTTGTACCTCTTTCATCCTCTTCCCTAACGAGCGTTAGCAACAGTGTGATGGATGACGTTGGATTGCTTAGCGCAGCATCCCTGTTTCCCAGAGCAGCCCTCTGGCAGGGGAGGTGGCAGCAGTTCAGCCCAGGCACCCGGAGGCATAGTGCTCTGGCAGGACATACAGCCCTGCCACTACCCTTAATGTTTGCTTATGGCTTCTTTCTTCCTTCCTTAAAAATTCAGGCAGCTGTCTTGTTAGCTGTGTGGCATGAAAAGCCACGTGTTGGTGGAAGGGTATGTGGAGATACATAAGCAAATATACATATGCGCACCAAGATGCGGTTCTGGCTGACCAGGGCTCTGGATGCTGATGTCTGACACAGCTTGGTGTCTCATCTGCTTATTTTCCTCTCTGTCTCCCAAAACAGGCAACAGATCCCAGAGAAAAGCCAGAAAAAGAAGAAAAAGACCAAATGGCGAGGGGACAGAGCCACGGGCTCCCACAAAGTCCAGTGCGTGATTTTGTGACGGGACTGCCTGGGAGAGCCTTGGACGCCTCCCTCCCACCCGCCCCGACCCACCGCCAACCCAGGCG